TCTGTAGATTGTATACCATGAAGAAGCTTTCTTCTGTCCTGGCTAGGACACTCACTTCTGGGACCAGTGGCTCCATGTCGCTTCCTGACATGTCTGAAGGTAAAGTAATTGGCTATATTTTGGAAGATTTAGGAATGTTTCTAGGGAGCTTACTGTTTCAGATGGTAGCCTTTAATGTGTTAATATGGTTTGGATACATTGCAAAATGGCCATACCCTTGACTGTTAGCTCATAGTACAAGTATTTTCGAAACAGCAGAAAATCACTGCGTGTGTTCTGAGATCAGTGGCAATGAATATGCATACATTATAGAAATTACAGATTTAGGGACTAGTCTGGGTCTTCAGCCTTGGAAGAAGCCTCTCTTCTGGAGGAAGAACTTTTTCTAAAGGAGGCTCTGGATTGAAAGTCAATATAGTACAGGCAAGAACTAAGGTGACTGGAAACTGTGGTCAAGAGATGGAGGAACTGAGTACAAACAAAGTCTTACAGAACTGTAGTTTTTTAATATGTTGATATTGTTTCGCAAACATAGAAAAATCTTTTAAGCAGATCAGCATCACTGCTGTGTGAAAGTGTGCTTGTCAATAGTGCTTTGTGCTGAAGGATTTTTTTAATGCTCTAATAATAAATCATACTGTTCCTGCTTCACAAGCTTATTAAAAAGCTTTCTACCATTCTTAACCCATGCATTGAGAAAAGGGGAAGAGGAAAAGGGCCAAATAATTTCTTCATGAAGTTCTGCTTGTTTCTCATGTCAGCTTTTCCCTTTTGTTCTCTAAATAGAAGCCCCAAGTAATCCAATGAAAGAGAAAATGAGGCTTATTGGCTGTTAGAGGTTTTTTTTTTTTGTTGTTCATTGCTGTTAATAAAGAGTAATTTGGGAGTTAAAGGAGAGAAACAAGGAAACAGAACATTGCATAATTGCACGTATTACCCAGCTTTTTTATTTGGACATTTTATAATGATACCACCTGGGAAGGACAGTAAAAATACTGAAGTCACGAAGCCATCCTGGCCTTAAGTGTCATTTGTTACTGAAGAATACTAATATTTCTGTGGACTATGCTAACTGTAAATATTTGAAATTCTGTTCCAAATGTTGTAAAATTAATAAAAATCTCATGCAGACTTTAGAGGGTATGTAAGCGACCTCTTCTTCCTTTCATTTGCTATATATGTTTTCACAAAACACCGAATACTGAGTAGCTTTTCACACCCTTCCTTCTAACTTTGGGTCCCAGCTGTGAACATGCTCACTTCTTCCATGGTCCTCCTCAAGGCGCACCACGCAGGACCTCAGAAATTTCCTTTGAAGTAACTCTCATCCCACTTCCTGAAAAATGCTCCCGATTATTCTTTCCTCCAAGTGCAATTCCTGGCTTTCCCGTTGATGTCTGAAATATTAGGATTACTCATGCTGTTAAGTGTTCACAGCTCTAGATTCGGCGATCTTGTCATTGATACGTGCATTGAGAACCAATATTAACAGTGTTGCTGACAGTGAAAGGTAACACAGCATTTGAGAAATTAATTAGAATTACAGTGGATACACCAGACAGATGAACAGACAGTAAAGCTGGCTTTGATCGGATGTGAAGGAAGGGACTAACTCAGTTGAAATCACAAAGATACTGATTCAGCCTTGGAAGTGAGCAAGGACCAGTTGCTTACAGGTGCTTACTAAAATTAAGGTACAAGTACTTAAATGGAATTTAAGCAGGTAAAATTATCAGATTAATAATTACCCCTTAATAAAGGTAATTTGTTTTCTTTCTTCTACGATGGTATTGTTAATCTAACCTGTGCTTTCCACTCCACAGGACACTTACCCATTCATGTGAATAATGGTGTGTTGTGGTAATCTGTATATATTTTCATATTTGCTTTAGCACCAAACTTACCTTGCTGCTGTCTTGCATTACTTTAGCATTCATGAAAAATGAAAACCTGTTGTTCTTCTCTGTCAACTTGCTTAAAGCCTCTTTGTCTTCATTAAAGTTGTTAAGTCATGAAAAGTGAATGGTCTGGTCTTATTTGTAGAGATATTGTTGTACTAGATCTCGGTCGGCACACTGTATTCCTGATGGCATGCTGGATAGCACATAAGAGGCTCGCGGGATACAAAATCTCTTACATACCAACTCCTCCAGTACTTAGCTTCACTGTAGACATCTGAATAAAAAGGTTCGCTATTCAGAAGCGGCGGATACCTGCAGCTTTCCCTGAAGTCTGGACGAAGCTCTATCAGAAATGGTTGGTAAAATATGTATTAGTGCTCTACCTGAACCTGGCCGTAGCCTGGGGAGGCGTCAGTACAAGGGGTATGGGTGTCGTTCAAGGATGCAGTAAGCTTGTCCAGCTGCATTCCTGTACTCTGTTATTGCACAGAAGAGATCAAATAAATGCAGGTCCTGTTGCTCTGGCGTCAGTGTTCCAGAAGATACCGTAAAATATTGCAACGTGATTCGGGTGAATGGGTGAAACCCGTTTTCTGTAGTTACGTTTTGTACATCTAAGACATTTACCAGTTGTAATATAAGGAAAGAGAAAGAGTTTATGGAGTATTGAGGTTAATTATTTAAAATTCTGCTATAAAAAAATGAAAATATAGAAGAGCAATATCGTTTTCCCAGGGGGAAAAGAAAAAATTATGTACTTAAGAGTCTTCAAAAGGGACTAGATTTAGTCTGGCGGTATTTTAGAGACACCTTTGCATTCGGTCCTTTTATTGTTAAAATGAAGATTGCACAGTCAGTCTGGCAAACATTTGCCTGTATGCCTAGCATTGAAATCAGAAGTAGTAAACAGGACTAACACTGCCTCTACATGTTTGCAGGCTTGGACCCAAGGCTTTTTAGAGCTTTTTGCCTTTTTAAGGCTAAAAAGGAGGATGAACTTAATTTAAACCAAGACAGAGACACTGACTCTGGAAAGTGCTGTTTATCGTGGCTGTCCCGGCACAGTCCACCCACTATTGGAAAATTGAGGTTTTGTGTTCTAGAAGCTGTAGCAGTGTTTCTCCTACAACTGTTATTCAAATAGCTGCTATGGCAGTTTTCACAGGTGGCGTGTGAGTAACAGGAAAGTAGCACCTATTATGTAAGCCGCTGCTTAGAAAAACGATCAGAACCCCCTTTGAAAAAATCAGCTCTTCAATTTTTAATCAGTTTCTTTCACTAATAATTTCGTGTTCTTAGAATTAGTAAAGGAACTCTTATTTCAAAACATTTTTAGCCTGATATCCTTAACAAGTTAAGCCTCAGTTTTTGTCTTTGCCTGCCTGCCTGTCTTGCTGTCCGCCTGTTCTTCCAGAATCTTTTGTTGCTTGACTTAAGCCAAAATAGATAAACACAAATCACGGATACCTGTGTTTCCACAAGCTCTGTGAAAATTAGCCTCTGAATTAGAGGTCTGTTAGGGTGCCAAAATTAGTGTTGCAGTTCAGCCGCTGACCACTGTGTTTGCTGGCTGTTGGCAAATAACACGGATCTGTGCATGGGCTGGCAGTCAGCCTGGTGTAGCTCTGGACTGGCCATAGCTTCTGCTGGTGCTCTGCTAGGAGGCGGGTGAAACAGAAGTAGATTAGGAGTGTACGGACAGGAGGTGAGGGTGTTTAGGCAAAGGAATAAGAAAGGGGAGGTTGGGGATATTGCAGCTATGGAGGTGTGGGGGACTCGGGCAGGAACAGAGCAGCAACTGAAGTGACTGTGCTGGGGGACAGAGTGGATCTGGCTGAGAGGTGGTACCTGATTTTAATCCATAGGCAATCAGGCTTCATTAACGCCAGTGCTCACAGGACAGCTTGCTGACCAGAGGGAATATTGTGACCTGGCATTTAGTTTGGAGCGGGCAAAGCTCGATTGCATCTAATAACCAAAACGTATAAAGGATGAGCTGATGGGTCACCAACAGCCCTCCTTCTGTTGCGTTGTGAATATTTTTGACAGCCCTTCCTTGATGCGTCCTTAACTATTTTGTCTTAGTACTTGAGCCCTCTCCATAAAAATCTTAGTTAGTAAGCAAGGTATTCCTTCTCTCTGCTTCTTAACTTCCTCCTGTTTTGAACTTAGGAATTTATTGTTGCTGCGTATTTTCAGACGTTTGCAAACAGCATACATTCACCTGCCTAATAGCGATAGAGTAACTTGATAGACTTGACTAGGCTTTAGCACACTTAATAGTCCCATCCAGGGAAAGAGTAGCATAATTGCTTCTACAGGGCCTTGAAATTTAAAAAAACCTTTGTGCAGGGCTAGCGTTTATTGTGATAGTGCAAAACAGTGCTGGAAATAATAGTACAGATCTGTCCTCAGCGTCTTAACACTGTGATGTTTGAGGCTGCTATAAATTTATTTCCGGAGTGAAGGCATGTGTGAAACCATGCTGGCAAGAGCCCGTCTGTTGACGTTACATGCCCTTCGTGGGTGGGACTAATTAAAAGGTGCTCTCAGCGTCCCTTTCCTCCCAGCTGCGCTATTCCCTTTTATGTTCCTTTTATGACTTTCTGATCTGTGTTATCTCTACAGTTTGTTGGTGTTCAGCTTGAAATATTTTCACATCAAAATTCCCTAATCTGATCTTGATCTGCTGTCTTTTTCAGTTCTTGATTAGCACTACAGGCATTTGATTGCATTAACAAACACTCTGAATGCATTCCTTTGTTGATCTTGGCTGTACACAATAAGCTACAGAATCATGTTACTCAACCCATTACTGTGATATGCCTACTAACAACATCAATTAATTTGGCCAAACTTTTGTTTTCAAGCCACTGTTTGCATGACTGCTTAATTTTCCTGTTCTGGGATGAGGATTGTGTCTCTGTGCACCTGGCAACCTCACATTTATCACTTGCAGAACTAAGCTTGATTTGCTTTGATTTTTGTTTCAGTGCGAAGCAGATTGAGGGATATAGTGGGAGCATCTACCAACTGGAGGTACAGTGTGCATTAAATGTATTTTACTTTATTTGTGAAATCCAGAGGGAGCTCAGAGTTGTGGTAGCGGAGATTAACAGTGTTCACTAGCTAGCTGGGGGAAAAAAGCGTCTGGCCAACGCTAAAAAATAATAACGCAAACTGAAGGTTTTTGAGTTCTTATTTTACCGCAGACTTCTGAGATTTCTCTAGCAGAAGATTTATCTTTAAAACCAAAGGAACAAAATGTATGCTCTTGATTCCCACAAAACTTTCCCATTTTGACACTCATGGAAGTTTAACAGCTGTAGAGTCTTACCAAAAATGTTATACTGCAGTCATCTCTTGGTTTGTCTATTGGGGGATCATCCGTGGGGCGGATTTGTCCTGCCCTGGATTCAGAGGCAATGGAGCTGGGTCTGCATGAAGCAGGCTGCATTATGAATGGCCTGGCAGCACCCATGTGGCTCTGTAAAATTGTCAGCTTTGAGTGTCTGTTCCCTAGTCAGAAGTCTCTCAGCATTTCTTTTCTCCACTATAACCTTATTGTGGCTGAATCTACATCTAATTTATATCATCCATGTTTCGGGTTATTTTACCTTCCCTCCATTATGTTGGATAAGCCAGAGCTGGCTGTAGTCCTCTGGCTGTTCACGGTTCTGAGTAAGTCAGTGTAACACTCTAGGGAAATTATGTATTGCAGATTGATTGGTTCCGTAGCTATTTTATTGACTGTTGATGTTCTTATGATTATCTTTGCTGAGCTATTGTTTCACACTGTGCACTGATAGGAAATGAGGAGAGAGGTGCCTGCATGCCTGGACTGAGTGTCTAATGTGTCCTGGCCTTCTGACTAGGTTTATCTGAGCAGTACTGTAGGCATACTAAAGAAAGTGCTTGAACCTGGGAAGCTTATTTTTGCCTAGTAACAAAGGAAGAGGGGACTTGAAATTTTCAGTAAGTCAGCTGACAAGCAATCTAAAGTTGATTTTAAAAAAGCCTTTTCTGCAGCCAAGAGTGCCTGAAAAGGAACCATGCTATATGGAAATACCCTCTGAAGATAGGAAACTCATAGAAGGCTTGGGTCAAATACAGTCTTTCCATCCATTTCTTCTCCCTCACTGCCCCCTGCCGTGAAAGGAGAGGAGACTGAAGCCAGGATCACCAGAGCAGTGTTTTTCTTCACAAGGGTACATCCCTTGTGCTGTATAAAATGCAGAATAATTGTGTTGGAAGTTGTTTGCACAGTATTACGTGCAATTATCATGAAGAAGTAAAGCTAGGGAGCCCATAGCTGGGCATACTTGAGAATGACAAGATTAATCTGTGGGAAAGTTTGGAAGACATTAGTCATGTGGATGTTGAGATCCCACTTTTGGGATGGAGTGACAAGGAAATGAAACGCATAGACCGAACAGCTAGTGCTTTAATAAACTGAGACCGCAGGATGACTAAGAGGACCCAGTGGAGTAGCTTGATAGGGATCTGGAAATGGGAAGTTAGACGTGGGCTGCGAAGGTCTGATGCACAAACATCTGGACTGCTGTGAGAGTAGGAAAGATAGAGGCTGGAGGAACACCTTGGGCCATTAAGTTTGCTAAAATGAAATTTTGGTTTATGATTTCTCTTATAAGTGTCAAGTGGCATTTTGCATTAAAAGAATAATCTGGCTTGTGCATTCTCTGTTTCTGTACTTACATGGTTAAGAATTAATCCATTCTCCTTTGCTAATACAGTGCAGTGATTCTTACTACGAGTATGAGATATTTCTAAATAAAGCTATTGGATCTAGATTATGGAGTGGTTTGGCCTGTGTTGAAATCATTAGGAATAACACCCATACAAGTCCGCGTAAGCTGTAAAATTTGTCTGCAAGTACAATTTGATGGCAGATTCATAGGGTGATTTATACTAGACCTCACCATAGTCTAGGAAGAGTTTTGGCCATGTCATAAACAGAGAATATCATTTCTCAAAATACTTAGAGCAGTTATTAATTAATACCCAAGTGAGGGGTTGACTGGCATTGTAGTGTTGAAAAGTATTTATCTGTTGAAAAATGTAACTGCCTTGAGCCCAATATTTCTGTATATTAAAGAGAGTGCATTCTGAAGCTGCAGTGAAGAAGAACTCTGCTGTTGACCTCAGAGGAGCCAGGATGGGACTGGTGAAAACAGAATGTAGTTGGATTGTTATTGTTTGTTTATGCTTTTAGACAAAATTTTGATTTGATCTCTTGACTAATTTCTCTTAAACCTTTCACTGAAAGACCTTAGAAACAGATCTTTAATAAGGCGTAGAGATGCATCACCTTTGACTGCTTATTGTTCCTTGGTCATTTAGAATATTCCATGTCTATACAGCAGTTCACCTTCCAAAAAATACCTCTGGAGTAGGGAGCTATCATTTAATCTTCTCTGCAATATTATGTATTCATGTTGCTCAGATGATATTTTTTAAACAATAAAATACTCTTGAATTTGTCTGCTAAACCTCTGTGTTCTTTGATTATGGATTATTCACATTCTCCCCAAATTTATTAAACAGAAAAGAGGGAGTATAAATATGTGGCAGTTTGACTCCTTTGTACCTCTCCTCTACTGAAATAAAACCTAAGCCAAAAAAAGTCTTTGTCTTAAAATATGGCTAATATCCAGAATACATCAAAAATAAAAACTTTAAGACAAATTTCAGTTTTGGTGAAAAGGTTCTTTTCTGTGATTTTCTTATAGATTTTTTTTTTTAATTGTCTCTGTTAAACACAGTGGCGCTCGAATCACCGTAATGCAGCATGCACCTCTGAATGAATGGCACATATCCACTACAATTTTAAAGTTGCTTGGTTACTTAGTGTTTAATGCCTTCTCTTGCTCTATGAAACTGATTAATCATCTTGTGTATTCTCTTGCTTTATACCTGAACTCTTGCATGTGTCACGCTCAGATTATTAGTGCTTTGTTGTTGATTCTAGGGATGTTATCAAATATTTGCCTCCTTCAATCAGGTTGCGCTGTTAAGGGAGGGAAGTTTCTAGAAGCAGGTGGGAGAAGGCGGGGCAGGGTTGTTACATGGCATAGATACCTCTGCAGGGAACAAACTGGGGTACTGGAAGGAGGTGAGGGTAAGTTTGCCCTCTCTCCCTTGTTCAAGCTGCAACCCCTGTGGACCTGGTGGCGCTGGAAGAGCAGCCTCTGAAAGGGTAGTGTTCCCTTTTCTGTATGGTTACTTTCCATAACTGCAGAGTAGTGAGAGGACTGGGTAGAAAGAGAGGGAAATATGTTCATTTTCCCATTCTTCCAGTTTGCTGGTCAACTATGTGCTGTATGAACTGATGCTGTAAAGGGAAAAGTCATCTGCAGGTGACAGCGAGTCTTGGCAGATGAGTTATCCCTCTGGTCAGTACTAGTCAGCATTATATGTCTCCTGTGCTTGAGGGAGATTGTAAGCTGGAAATCAGACCTATAAAATTGACGAGAAGAGTTGGGATATAGAAGCTGCGGAAGACATGAATATGCACAAAAATCTGTAGGTTAAATTATCTGTCATTGAAGTTTTTTAAACTATTTTGTTTTCAAGGGAAAATGTTTTGCTATCATTCAGTATTGGATAAATTTTGTTTCTCTCTTTAGTGCAAAGTATGTACAGGCCACTCATAAAATAAAACTATTTTATTAAAAATTTTTCTGGAGTGTTCTTGCATGACATATCTCATTTTCACTTTTTTTTCAAGAAACACTTGCTGTGTCTTGCTATTTTTGTATCTTCTTTTCATTGTAGTAATCTTCACTGTGGCATCTTTTAGGTAGGGTTTCAGTTCTGTTGTCATAATTCAAACAGTGTGTTTCTTCTCTTACTAGGGATCATGTGCAAGCAATGCAGGAAAGAAAAGCTCTTCATACTTTACTGGCAAAACGGCAGGAAGATCTGCCTCCTAGGAGAATGAAAGATAGCTACTTGGAAGTTGTCCTACCTCTAGGAAGTCAACCTGAAATAAGAGAAAAGTATCTGAATGTGCACAACAGTGTAAGGTAACAAAAGGAAGTATGTTATATGTACAGAAAAGTGTTAACTTTCATTTATTATCAGTGTAGGTATTTAATTGTCAAAAAACATATCTTACAGGTTTGGAAGAATTCTTGAAGATCTTGACAGTTTAGGAGGTAAGCATCTCTCTCTTGAAATGAATGCAGGAATAATGCAGACAAAGTGAGTTTGAGTAGTATTTGGGATGATACAATATTTCCTCAGAGATAGTATCACATCAAAGTGCTATCTCTAAGGGAGGAAAAAAAGAAAAGATACTGATGCTGAAAGAAAGGTGATAAAGAACAACCAGAAGCAAAATAGTTCCTTATAGCTTCAGCTTCTTGCTTCTGTCCGGTTTTTAAAGGACGAGTTACAAGAATAGCTTATTGAGAAATGCACCTAGACTGAGAGTCTGCACTGAGCTCTAAGTCAGAGAGAATTTGCATAGGGAGCTATTTCAAATTAAATCAGATGATTTTTCTCTTTAAAAAAAAAAAACAGGTGATAGTGAGGGGAAGGTTCTTTATTTTACTATTCCCCCTGGAGGAGAAAGAAGAGAGTATAGCGTGGAGAGAATTTATCCATTGTGACCAAATAAAACTAGTATAGATTCTTGGGGTTTGTTTTGGAATTCGTGTTAAGGGTAGAAGCAGAAACCACTCACTTGTTTCATGAGTTAGCTTTCTTAATCCTTTTCTCCCTGGTTCATTTATTCATGGTGTTTAAAAGTTCTTTGCCTTTTGTTTTCCAGCTAAAGTAAGTGCTAGGTTGTTAATATAACCTGGGGAAGTTTTTCTCTTACAATGTCACAAGATGATTTCTGTTTTGATCAAAGTTCTGTAACTGGTGGGGAGCGTTTTGGTGGAGGTTTTTGACAAAAAATTAAACGCTCATTAAAGGAAAGCTCCAAATGGAAAGTGCCTATCAGTTTCTCTGACAGAAAAGAAAGATCTTTTAGTGGTCTGGATGTCCGAAATTGAGGAAGGCAGAGAAACGAGTGAATGCATGTCGCATATCCGTCTGGGACAGATGAAATAGCTAGGTTATTTATATTCCTTTCAGGGATGTGAAAGATATTGCCTTCCAGTTCCCGTCCTGAATTAGGAAAGGAATCTTGAAACTATTGGCTACCCTCTTCTAGTAAATGAGATGAGCTTTTTTTTTTTTTTTTTCTCTCTGCCTTGCTCATCTTCCCTGTAGATCTGTGAAGATCTTAGATTTTTCTCTTTCAGCGCAGAATGTCTTTGTTTTTGTTTTTACTCCTATTTGACTTCAGTCAGTTCTGCTGCGGATGTGTCAGTTTGGGTTAATCCTAACTGTGATCTTGACAGACATGCTACATCAAGATGTGACTGACTTCTAATTATTTGTCCATGGCAATAGAAGTCTGATAAATCCAATTCTGACTCTTACTAAATTGTATTAATAGGTGTAACAGTTTTTAGAATGGTGACTTTAGCAATTGTGGGGAAGAAGTATCTCACATTTGTTGGAAGGATCTCTCTCCTCTCTGCGAACAAATACTTTTTTTGATTACAGAAATCTATATTGAGTGAAAATCACATGAGTAGTAGACAATGTCTTTGCAGCATAGGAGTACTTTAAGGAGTTTGTTTACTTGGATGTACTCTTGTGAGCAGAGCTAAAATAATTTAAGTAGTGGTTTAGCTAGTAGAAATTATAGTGTGATAAATAGCTGGCTATGCTTTCGTGCCTATAAGCCACACCTTATTTAATCTGCACCTCTTTAAAGGAATCGGTATTTGAAAATAAGTCCTAAGAAAACATGTATACTTGGACAACCTGCATAAAATCAGAGTAGACGATAGGAAGGGAATGAAGGATCTGAGACAAGTGGGCCACAGGGATAAAGGGAAGAGATTAAATGGGATAGGGAGTCTAGGAGCAATGGGGTGAGGTAAGGTGCTGAGCTTAGTTTCCCTCTGTGGTGAGTAAATACGCGTATAGCCTAGACAGCTGCTGAATCACAGTTTTCTTTATAGCAATCCCATGAGGTACACACATGAAAACATGGAATTCATCTGCGTCCCTACAGGCTGTTATTTCAGTTTCTCCTTTGCAGGTACCTCCCATTATGTTTCACAGGGATGGCTTTGATAATGCTTTACTAACGTTTTGTTAAAATACAGGAGAACTGAAAGCTGACTCCATTTTTCATCTCTCCATAGTTCTTATTTGCTACACTCACACAAAGCAGGAAGCACAGCCAAGGTCTCCCTTATCAATCGTTACAGCCCTCGTGGATAAAATCAGTAAGTGGCAATTTGATCAGTATAAATGATTTCATCTGGTGGTCTGAATCCCTAGTCTTTCCACAGCTACTGCTTTCCCACGGTTCTTACTGAGGGTTTCTTCTTCCCTCTCCTGTTTAGTTCTCTTTGTATTGTTTTGGCTTCCAGTTCTTAAGTACTGTGGCTTTTCTGGAAGGGGGTGAGGACGGAAGAGGGCTTTGTAGATGCTTTCCTAGCATTTCAGGTTTTCCTTCCTTTCAAAACGTGAGTTTTTATGCTTCCTGCACGTCTGTGTTTGGTGTTGTATTAGCAAGTGAGTCTCTTACCTTCATTCCTGAATGCTGTTTCTTGTGATGGAGTTAGGCCTTGCTTACGTCACGTGTTCTGCTGAGCGTCTCTGTGGGTCTGCCATCCGCCTGCCACCTGCATGCCTCCTTCTTCCTCCTGTTCTAGAGCGCAGTCTCTTGCAATGGTTATCCTTTTCTGGGTTGTCTTTCTGTGCGTTGTCACTTACAGAAAGCAAAGGTGCCACTCACGTTTAATACAGAAAGACTGGCTCCTCTGTCTCCAGTAACCTCTAATGTTTATCTTTTAGATTTGTGCAAAAAGATTATATATCCAGACGGTGACATCAAATTCACAGGCAATGTTTCCTGGGTTGGCAGGACCTCAATGGAAGTGAAGATGCACATGCTGCAGGTTAGTTCCTGTGACTTCTCTCCATCCTGTGACGGTCAAGCTTTATATTCTGAGGTGCTTCAGATAGGATTCTGTACCATGACGTCTAAATTGCATTTTCTAGGATAACTTCCTTGAAGGGCTTGAAACAGCTCTAGTGTTTCAAGAGCAAGGTGAGCGCTGATGGTCTAGGATCAGCAAGAGCCTTCGTTGTTAATTTTTCTGTCGTTTATTTAGAGTAACGCAGATACAGTATAAACACTTAAGTGATATTACTGGCTATAATTCAGGTAAACACTCAGCTAAACATTTTCTGATTCAGTTTGTCTCCTTGAATGAAGTCTGTAATTTAGAAGGTAAGGTTACACCTTTGTTGTCTGAATTCCTCTTAGTGCTGGCTTTAGTGGCAATTTGGTATTAACAACAAGTTGTTGTTGTGGCATTTCTCAGAATAAAGGATAAGAGGATAATTTTAGAATGAGTACGATGGTTTTTCTAATGGAAACTAGTAATTAGCATTTCTGTGCTTAGTACTTACGTTGCAGAATTCCAGAAACTAGAGTTTTAAGTTTTGTTCTTTCTTTGCCTTGGCTCTATTGTGAGAGAGCTCAGAAGGGACAGTAGAATGTCAAAGTGAACAGGTTTACAGTGTGATTGCGTGGTTGATGTCCACTGGATAGCTTGCTAGGCGCTTTCATGATGTTAGAGTTTAAAAGTGTAACGGTTTCCTGTCTCTTTTAGCTACATGATGGTGACTACAGCCCGGTATTAGATGCAACCTTTGTCATGGTGGCCCGGGATCCAGAAAACAAACGGTAATTTGTAGGACGGGGGAATACTGTTCAGACTCCTGCTCTGGTGAAAATGGCAAACGTGATCGCTTGTTATGTATGTATAGAAACTGTATAGCGTGAGCAGTTACAGATAAATGACACACTTGATGTTTTCCCTTGGCCAAACGTCCCTCTAATTTCTAATTACTTTTCTGGGGCAAGCTTCAGAGCATTGCATTCAGCAGTTAAATGACACAAGGAGTTGCTGCTAGTCTTGGGATGTGACCCTTTTCTTTAGTAGATTTATCCCTGTGTTTGAATGACTGGCCTGATGAACATGGAAGTGAATGAGTTAGCTAGAAACTCACCTGCATTCTGTAGTACTAGTTAGAGCTGATAAGTTTCCTGTCCTAAGGAGCAGAAAGATTGAGCCTGAATGGTTCAGTAATCTTCGAGTGAAAAATGTCTTTAATTCCTTAATAGAAAATGGTAGAATGACTCTTGTCAGCCTAAAGCTTGCTATGTAAATAACATGGGATTGGTAAGTATTTTCACAGAATTACAAAAAACAATTACCTTATTTTTCTGGTTTCACTCTAATGCCTAGTCATTAAACAAACAAGCTGCTCAGTTTCAGTGTTGGTTTACATGATTCCAGCACTAGTAAAAATCAGCTATAATTCTTTCCTTCCTACAAAGAGCCTGCAAAAGTCATAAACCATTTTCTTCTTCTAAGTAGTTTAAATAATTGTTTGTATTTAATGAAGAGGGGTGTATTTGATGAAGGGTTTTTTAGTTAACCTAATTATTTATTCCTTATAATGGTAATCGTAGTTATTAGTTTGGTTTCCTTCAGGTTTATGAAATATTTTTAGCTCCCGTTAACATAGCATTCATGCCCAATATACTTTAAAAGAACTTTATCTTTCTGATACCCATTTTGAGGAAGCAGACTTATTTTGCAAAAAAATAATTATATCAAATTTGATGTAATTATATGCTAGCAGACTGACTAATGGAGCAAAACAAACGATGACAGCTCCAAGCAACTCTCCGAGGCAGTGTTCTTACTCTGCTTTACAAATGGGCAGCTGAGGGCGTGTCTCTGTGGAGGTACGTCATAGATAAAAACTTCAGTGCCTGTTCCCCAAGCCAGATGGACAAAAGCCAGCTGCGTTGTGGAAGGCTTCTATCCATGTATGCAGGGTATTTTGGGCTGGACGGTGTCTCTGCCCGCTTCTTGTCAGCGACTTAAATAAAGGTTCAGGGCTAGACGTGAATTGTGCAGCAGGTTTGCATGTTTGTGTGTGTGTATATATGTGTGTGTACACACACGCACACCCCCCCACACATCCCCCTATATATGTGTGTATATGCATATGTGTATATATGTGTGTGTGGATATATATGTTTTTGTTCTGAGCACTCCTATAAATAGCTAAAATACAAAAATAGCATGTGGAAATTATGGGGACGAAGGGCTCTTGAAAATAAGCAGCTGCCTTGCCTTGTGAAAAGAATCAAATTTTATGTAATTATGCTAGAGTGGATTTATTTGTACAGTAAAATAAACATATGAATTGAGACTCCAGGCAGCCTCATATCATCTTCTTTGATCAAAGTGTTTACATGTGGTAAACAGCTTTTGGCTGTGGATAAGGCTGTCATGGGAATGTTTAGATTATAAGAACACTTGCTGCCTAAAGCACTGCGCGCTCTATTCCAGAAATAATTTTGTTTTGCCGTTCATGTTTTGTATATCTATTTTAGACTGTTCTAGATCATCCCATCTTCATTTGTGATGTTTCTTAATAGCTTTCTGCTTGAGTGATGTTCAATGTAATCTATAGGTACGGTTTTGTTTTTTTAAGAAGAACAGATGCATTGGTTACTCTTTATTAATGATACTAGATAATGGCAGGATCTCTTACCTGCCTCTTCAGAATTCAAGTTAATGTGATATTCAGTTGGCAGCAGCCACGTTATGAAATAACATAGCTATTTCTAAGATATGATCTGAAGTCTGTCTTTTCATCTTGTAAGCAAAAATGCTATAACGTGATATTTATAGGACAAATTCTGGTAAAGTTTGTAACTTAAAAAAATTCCTATCCGTAGGCCAGCATTTGTTAATCAACTAATTCCTGAGAGCCCTGAGGAAGAAGAAATCTTCAAGCAAGGGGAATGTATGTCATATTTCCTGGCAGTATGACAATCTGACTCAGCTTCAACTTAGTAGCTGCAAAATAGACTTTAGAAGTTCTGTTGCTAATAGATGCTCCTAATTTGTTTAAAATTAGATTTTTATTGTGTCTCTCACGTGTCCGTATGGAGAAGAGATGGAAAAGAGAGCATTTAAAAGCTTAATACCACATTCGTGCAAACTCTTTGGCTAAGCTGACGGGCAGGGGCACTTCTGGTGTACTCGGCACCCTGGACTTCTGTTTCCAGGGTGCTCACTCCGCTTCAGTCCTGACTGCGGCGTGGGCTGTCCTGATGTTCTGGGCAATGGATTGGCCCCGAGGTGGGCCTGCTGGAGTGCCTCACTGCTCCTTCCCTATCTGGGTGGCTGTGTTCCCTTTCGAAGGGAACTCAGGCATAGGGGAAAAGTGTGTACCATCTTCCTTTGTTTCAAACTGGAATTTTAAAGCAGGGAGTTAAATTTAACAGAAAAATGCAAGATTGTATAAACTGAGCAACAGATCTTTTAAAGTTTCAATCAGTGTGGCGTAGGGTAATGAGTTTTAGCATAAATTTGCATTCTTGTACCATTGGAAAACCTATGGAAGTTTGTATGTTCTGTAGGGTTTTTTGTTTGATATGTTTTTTGCACTTTAGGGGGGGGTATTTAAGTGCCCTGTTGGAGGGGTGGGTGGAGATCGCAGTATATGCACAGGGGGTCTTCATCACATTGGGGTGTAACAGTGGACTTCCAGCTTATTTTTAATTTGATGTGGTCAATTCTAACAGCCAGTTTGCTGTTTGAGTCTAAGTCTAGCGCTGTGGGAGTGGGAATCTTATCTTTTAACTTGCAGGAAAATGAAATGAAAAGAGACAAATGATTCCAGGTTAAAATCTGCAGAGCCAAGTGAAATGTTTTTGTCTTTGAACTCTGATAAGCTTTTTTTTTTTTCGTTTAGTGAACAAGACAAGGAGGATTGATTTCAGCACTGCTTCCTTACTGAAGATGGCTCCCACAGCAGAAGAAAGAAACATTGTTCATGACATATTCCTTAATACGTTGGACACAAGGCAAGAAAGGGAGGGGTGGAGGAGAACTGAAGTCTTGGGAAAGGGAGTAGTAACGTGCCTTTTGAGTTGGAGAGCAGACATTTTGTTTTCCCATTTCGACATTTAAACTCTTGGGTGCTCTCCTTGAAACACAGGTACAAAGTTTAATGTGACATGCATGCCTCTCAAAAGTATCTTCCGTCGTCCAAGAATGTTAGCTGTGCAAGGATGATAAAAGTGACAAAGTTAGCACAACGAGCTTCTGAGCAATCTGTTTGGAATAACCTTCAGAAAGAAGGTTAATGATGTTTAAGTGGACAAGGGAATGGAATTCTTTTGCAGCCTTGTGACTTGCAACCACGCAAGAGTTTTCTGCTGTGATAGCTAGAAAAACCTGTGAGGGCAGGAATTGGCCATGTTTTGACCAAGTAACCTTGCAATGTGTTTTAAATATAACACTTGACAATGTTTTTTGAGGGACAGACATACATAGTGTTGACATACTTCTCTGGCTGACGTTTCTGTGAAATGTTCTAGTGCCAGTGGTGGCAGAGTAATGCTAATGACATTAGTGTACTATTGTACGTGTGGATAATTTATAATTTCTTTAACTTAACGTAGTTGATTTTTCAAAGCTGTTTACCAAAGTAAGACATGCCTTCCACTGGAATTAGCAAATGTATTTTGTTCATGCTCTCTCTGGGTTTGAAAACCTCAAAGTGTCTGCCTGTTTGAGGTTGAGTTAATCTGCTAGTTCATTGTCTGCTTTTAATTCATGTTATGACTTAAACGGTGCAAGGCTTTTCTGGAAAAGTAAGCATGTGCTTTGTGGATGTGGTTCATCTCTTCTTTCATTCACTTTTCACAAGTTGAAAGTGTTCACGTAAGCGTGAACATTAGCAGAAGTATTTGAAAGATCAGGAGCACAGGCTATATGATTACAGTAAAAAATCCAAGTATCTCTAGATAAGACTTGAAGGTCTGTTGGAATAGCTTTCAGTGGTAGCATTTCTGTTTTTTTTTTAGTTCCACATTTCCTATTTGTGCATTTTTGACTTGCTGAATTCTGCTAATGTGGGTTATTAAGTTTATTGCCTCCTCCATAGGACAGTAAGTTTCCGGAGTCGTGTATTACCACCCAATTCAATGTGGATGGAAGATGCAAAGCTGAAGAGCCTACAGATTTGCCACCCTCAGGTATTTTGAAATATATTAATGAATTACAAAAGCAAATTACTGAATTAAGAATTGTCTTTTAAGACTAGTGAATCCTTTATTGTGTTTAGGTTCTTCTGTCCTCTTTTTCTATTTAGACCTGAGTTTCTGTTGCCATTTTGGTATTATCTATATAGATTAATACTGAAAATTAGAAGATTTTTCCCTGCCTCCTTTTATTATTAGAGTACTCATTTTGGATACAGAAATTCTTTTGCAATGTGTTTAAATTGGGCTTCTGGTTGATGACACAATTTTGAGTTTTGATCTTATGTTGTCAAATGAGTCAGATGAGCTCCTAGTAAGTAAACTTGCTGAGGCCATTTAGCCTTTTGTAAATATAGATTTCGGTAGCTCTCTATATATTCAGATGCTGGGTGTTCTGTTAAATCCTGTGAACAAAAGTGCAGATTACTAGGCAGAATTGAACACAATATTTTGGGAAGAGTTTGTGTGATATAGCAGTTTGCTGATTGTATTCTTACATGCAGGAGCGGAACATCTTCAATAGGATCTTTGGGGGTTTTCTCATGAGGAAAGCATTTGAACTGGGATGGGCAACTGCTTGCAGCTGTGGGTGAGTGGCAGACTTGCAATGTTTACATAATCCAGAACATAACACGGTGCATGCATACGTAGGTCAGAAAAACAAGGTAACCAACCTAAGTTTGAATAGAAAATACCCAGGTGTCTGACTGAATGTGGCAGGACACAGCAATATTTTGCTTGGACAGTGCACCTGTCATTTTTACAAGGAGATTTTTGTCTTGCTCCTTGGAGCTTGGTTTTTAAGCGTTGCATGTAAGGATACAAAATATACGTCCTTTTTGTTTTGTCTTTCCAAGCTACTGAGATTGACTTCTAAAGATGCATTTTCTTTCTAAATGTATGAAATGAACATTCGAACAGATACTACATCTTCTCATTACCTGCACAAGAGTAATGGTTTCTGAACTTCTAAAAAGTGCATGTTCTTAGAAAATGTGACTGAGGTCATCACCCAGCAAAGATCTGTGTACAACTTTAATGGTGAGCAGGTGAGCATGTGCATAGCCTGATTGAAAGATGAGTGTTTTTTGTGAGTGCTTGGAAGACTGAGGCCTAAAGGAGTGTGTCCTTGTATGCGTATAAGAAAGGTTTCTTCCAGTTATTTTTGTCTAGGGTGATGGCATAATTCTTCAGCAATTCCTGTGGCCTGTATTTAATTGAGACTTATTTTTTTTAAAAAACCCTCATTAAAAGGCCGACAGTGAAATCCAGTTCAGTTTCTCCAAGTACCCTAGTTATTCTTGAGAGCAATTTTATGTTTTTCTTGCTCAGGGGTTCCAGACCTTTTATCGTATCTGTTGATGATATCATGTTTCAGAGGCCAGTTGAGGTTGGATCCTTACTACTGCTTTCTGCACAGGTAGGAGTTGATTTCTTTTTGAAGAACAGAAGAACTTACCCTTCATATTGTCACTGCTAATCACTGATGATGAGCAGTGCATTGTGAGAGAGAAAGACTTTTCTTGTTAAACAGTGAAACAAAGCCTGTTTCTGTTTTCCAGGGCCAGTGATGAATTACTAATTGTACTTCCTGTCTTAACTGTGTAGGTTTGTTACACGGAAAAAAACTATATCCAGGTTCGAGTACACAGTGAGGTTTATGATGCAGATACCAGAGAGCACCACACAACCAATATCTTCCATTTTACATTTATATCAGAAAAGGAGGTCCCACGGGTTGTCCCTAAAACGTATGGAGGCAAGTATCCAATTAATGCATTTTTGTTACGACTCTGGAAAAGAAGACTTTCTTTCTTTCTGTTGGAACATAATGAAATGCTGTTCATTTTAATAGATGAACTATTGGCATGTGAATAATTTAACAGCATTTCATGGCAAAGCATATGTATTGTATGCTTTGATGACACAACAAATGCGTTTTGGATTGCTCTTTAATCTTGTCACTCTGTGTAGTTGCCCCTTATTGATACTTTGATACTAAGTTACTAATGTATTATCTCTTTTCTTCACATTATTTCAGAGTCCATGTTGTATTTAGATGGGAAGAGACACTTTGCTGCAACCATGAAAGAAATCTGAGGCACTGAATGCGCATCAACAGTGTAGCAGCATGCGGTCTTTGAAAGGCAGCTGTCACCAGAGATGACTACCAGACAGATGCCTGCAGTACCAAAAAAAAAAAAAAAAAAAGAGTTCCTTTTTAGCACTATTTATGTATTTGCCTATAAGTGGATTTCTTATTCTCTGCTACGAGCATTTTTTTTTAGAAATCTACTTTGACGCAGCAACTCTTTTAGGAAAAAAGTCTGAAAAAATACCATCTTAAACTTTAGAAAGCTTCTGTCTGTCTGCTTTGAGAGATCTCATTACCACCTTTGCTGTCTTGTCACCATCTGCCTTATTTCCCTTGATAGTTCCCTGTTGTGCTTCACTGATAAGAGATAGAAGTTCTATCAGAAGAATATGGGCAATAAGTATATAAACACAGGTGAAGCCGTTTGACAAACATTCTTGTGTAAATTAGGTTTAGGTTTTTTTTTTTTTTTTATCAAAGACACAAGCATCTGAACAGCAGCAGAAGCTCACAAATGATTAGCGTGTGCACACAATATTAGTTTGTGCCATATACAAGCAGGCATTTTTCCATCATCTGGGATTTTACAGGGTTGTTGCAGCTTCTATTTTGGATGGTTTCCTGTTCCCTTGGGAGTAGACTATTTTTTTGTAATGAAATCAAATGGCCAGAAGGGCTGTTCTGGCATTCTGTTTGCATACAGCCAGTCCTGCTAGCCTCTTCTAAAAACTTTTTTTTTCTTTGCTATAACTGCAAGTGTGTTCCTGAATGAATTGTTCCTGATGATCTGTAGAGCAGAGATCTGACGGAGATTGGGAAAGGACGTTGTGGAGCGGAACAGTTCGGTTTGTTTGGGGTTGGGAGCAGAGAAGGGAAAACGCTATTAAAATCGTTAATGGTTGTATTTGATTGATGCAGGAGTCAGGAGTCCAGAGAATCTGTGTTGAGCAGCTCCCAAGTCAGCTGCTGAAAGGCAAGAGAACTGTTACTCCCCTGTGGGGGAATAGCTATACCACCCCTATATGGGGGTAGACTCTGCTGGACTATGAGTATTGCAGTGCTTTAGAGGTTGTGAAGTTTATTTGTGAAGGACAGCCACGATCACAAAATTGGATCTCTGATACCTTCAAATCAAGACTGATGTCCTGTGTGATCAAGACGCCCAAACAGGAGTAGCTGGGCTCAGCGGTAGGTTAAATGCATGAACTATCATGTCTTACAGTGCAGGGAAATAAACTCAGCTGTCCCTTGGAGGTTTAAAATCTCCAAAATGGGGAAGCAGCAGGTAGATTTGGTGTGACTCAGCAAAGATGCATGAAACAGGTTGATAAAGTAAAGCAATGTGATGAGATTTAATTTCAAAGTAGGAAAATTTGAAAAATTCATGATTAGGACCAGCTTTTTCTGGTGCTGGAATGATAGTGTGAAGTTCATGGCTCGTAAAAACCGATTGCCGTTCATGGAAGGGGAATGAGCGTTCTGTCAATCGGCATGTTATGCATTGGCCTTTCCTTTCCAAGATTCTCCTGCATGTGTATTTATGAGTTAAGCAGCTTTCCAGTAGAGAAACAGTGGTGTTACCTGATACAGATTGGATTGATGCATTGCAGTAATAGTATGCTCCCTGCTCTTTATAGAGAGTTCCTTGCTTCAGCCACACTCCATTGCAGATGCAGCTGTATGATCTTATAATCCTTTTCTTTAACGGTTATGGAACTGTGGGTATGTATGATGTGTGCATTTTCTGTTTTCCTCCTCTTCGTACTCTCAAACTCTTTGGAAGCTGAACATATTTGATCACACAAATAAAGAACTGAAATTCTATCCCGGCTTCTTCCCCCCTTGCTTGTATGCGTGATTGTGGGGTATTCAAAATAATCAGTAAAGCGGGAAGTTGAGATCTGTTTCAGAACTACCTATTACTTCTGACTATATAGTTTCTTAGCATTGGCCCAGTGGTCCTACATGGATCACTTTTGCATAAAAATTAAGTGGATACCAAATTCTTCCTCTGCTGCCTTTTCAGTTATATTTAAATATGAATTTATCATAATTTCTGAAGTTAGCCTTTGGAAAGGGGTTGGAGAGGAGGAAAAGAAATAAGAGTGGGGAGGAAAGCATGACATAAAACCTCCTGGACACAGTGAAGAAAATGAATCCAGCAAACGAAGATGCTTAAAAGGATGTGTGTTTTCAAAGTTTGTGATGTCTTAAGAATGTATGACAATCACAGTTAACTATAGAAATGTACTTACAGCCATACAGAATATGTGTGTGTGTATATACATATATATAATAGAAAAACTATGTAAAATTATGTATAGTAATAAAAAGAAAGACATAGAATATGTGCTCATGTATTTTTAATCTTGGAAGGTAACTCCAAGCTGGCTCCCTCTTTGAGTATAGGCTAAGTGTACCTGTGTTTGGGGGATGTTGTTTGTACATCTCTGTGTGCTTTCTTGAGTGAGATAAAATTAGTTTAACTTAAATTTCACGTTCAGAATTAAAATATTTTGACATAGGAATTATTATTGGGTTTATATTGCAACTTAATGACCAGCCCCTCACTACTATAGGTAACTAACCGTTGCCACACAAAGCTAAATGTATTAATAGAAAATCTTTTTGTTTATAGCTGACATATCTGGGTAACTGGCTGTGGCTCTGCAGTGGAAAGTAAATGTTTTTGTGCCCATCATGTCTTGGAATACAGCAAGGAAGGGGGAATTCAGCAGCTGGTTTGCCTCCCCCAACCCTCTCAGTTAGCGATGATATATAAGGAGAATTCTGTGAGATTAGGTGAGCTAAGTGCCCTCTAAAGTGCTTTGTTTTAGATATCTTTATTTTTCTGTGTTTAAAAAAAAATGACTTAATAAAAAAAAACCGTAACAACTTTTGGTAATCCCTCCTCAAAATTCTCATGATTCTTTTGCAGCTAAGTAGCCGTGTTCAGCATTGTAGGATTAAACTTGCTGAAACTGTGACAGCACTGGCCAGTGAGTGAGGGTTTTAGTGCATCTAAGATTACTGCGTGTTTCATTGGTTATACTGTATGTTCACGTCATTCTTTGTCAGTATCTGCTGTTAACAGACTTTGATTGCTGGTCCTCCTCCGAACAGATTTTAAACTGGGGGTGTGAGATACTATTTCATCTTGGCCTAGGGCCTACCTAACAGGAAAAGAAATATTCACAATTTCATGAAAGGGTTGACAAGGAAGTAACACAACACACTTTGCTCCAGGGTTAGTGATGTGATAAACTGTGAAGCTTTGGATTGTTGATAATGTAGTTGCTTTAGTTCAGAGTAGAAAGACTGTATTAGATTTTTCCCAACACCAGCTTGCTCCAATATGCGTGTTAGTGTCTTCTAACTGTGAAGAAGGGTGGTTTGTGATTTAAGTAGTTGACTAGACTTTGATGGGGAGGGGTGTGCATTTGTTCTTGCCCTGGCACTGACTTTGTGCATAAGCTTGGGCAAGTTACTTGGGCCTGAAACCAATAAATGCTCCCAGTGCCTGCAATAGGAAGTAAGCAGTGTCTGCAGTTTGCAGTTGTGCTTGGAAAACTCGCTGGGTTCCTGTGTCTGTGATGATGCCTGGGGGCTTGGAGAGCCAGGAGCACGTGCCCAGGGCTGGCCTGGCCTGAGCCCCAGCAGGGACACAGGACTTGGGCGGTTCTTACTGTCTCAGCTGGCCCAGGATGGGGGCAGACTGAGTCTGTGCACAGGGCTGGTGACAGCTGTTGTTGAAGGCATAGTTGGAGGAGGTCATAATGATGATACCTGCATATAAAATAAACTGCTTCTTGCTCTGACCACAGGGCGCCCCGTGTCCCAGCAGGGCGTCCTAACCAGGAGGCTGGAGGCTCTTCTGGGCAGAGACTCCTGCTTACTTTATCTTCTGTTACATAGCAGAAATGGGAGACCTTTGGAGCAATGGACCAGGGGTCTGGGGGCTGGTTCTCGGGGCACTCAGTAAGGACAGAGTTACGCGTTCTGGTCCCTCCTTACATGGTAGCTCCTTTATTTTTATCTGGTAACTGTTCAGTAAAAAAATGCAGTCTTGCAGCTGGGACCAGATCCCCCTCTCTGAGCCCTGTGCTTTTTGTCTTCTCCAGATTTAAATACTGCTTAAAGCAAGCTTCTTATTACAGGCAACACAAATAAATTAGCCTCAGGGCTCTGCCAGCCTCAGGCAGAGCGGGCTGGATGGGGAGCTGGAGGCAGAAGCTTCTCAGTGTCTTGGCATGTGGTTTGGGCACCATCTGCCGGTGTTTTGGGGTAAGATAGCTTTGTTGGAGTGCTAGCCCCAAAGGGCTTCCTCCAACAGGTAGAACTCGGAGAGTTCTTGGTAGACTTGGAGAGGTGGCTTTCACCTCCAGATATCACTGCTTTTTAAAGCTTCTCTTTTACAGCTGTGACAGTGGTCCAAAGCGTGAGCTGCTTGCTCAAAACAGCAGAGGAAGCTGAAGGCAGAGAGTCTCATTGCTAGCAGTTATTTGCTTTCCAGGAGTTCTTTGTTCACCTCAAACATGCCTTCCACAATACACGTTAAGGGACCTCATTGCTGAAGAGTTTGTCAGATCTAAGTGGTCACCATGGAATGGAAAAGCCTTTAGCCTGGTCGTTTGGGCTCGGAAGAGGGCTTTTATCGTGACTGGAAGAAGTTGGAACCCTGGAAATTGGGCTTTTTTGTCTTTTGAGAAGACAAGTTCAAAATGGCAGTTTGATGCATCTGTGTTTCATGCACTTCCAAGAGAGGCCTGTAAATACTTCCCGGGGTTTCGGAAGCGGAGTTTTATTGCGGTTCAATTCCTCCACTATTTCAAATCTCCAAAGACGAGTACTTGAAGAACAGACCACTCTATCTTTTGTTTAGTTACCATTTTGTAAGTGACCATTGCAGATGGCATTGCCCAGTCTGAGTTTGTCTGCGGCTGATGTGATGTAGATCAGTATTTTCAAATCAGCTGTTGGAAGTCAGGTTCTTACATTCAGCTCCGCGCACCAAAATTTGTGAAAGGTTCGTATTTCAGGCAGTGCTATGGATATCCACTGCAGTGTGGGCTTCTGTGAGGATTGCTGGTGGGTGCTCTTTACTTTAGGAGATAATGTCACTTTTATTTGTTGCCTAAAGTTTTAGGATTTTAATTTTTGTCCTGCTGGTGCTTATTTGAACATGTTGTTCCTTCACCTGTGCATAAAACACATCCAGGTATGTGAACAAGGCCACGGAAGCCCCTAATTCAAGCAATAGGCAAGCACTAGTAATGTGCGCATAGAAGAGGTGAGTGTGTTTCTATTACTGCCTCAGTGTTTCATTATTGCTATGAATATGAATTAATTTCATCTGGTTAATTGAAACTTGTATTTATCTTTGTCAACCGTGGACAGTATGTGTTACTGAAGTATTCATCTTGCCTCTTGTCTCCCAGCGGCTCTCCTTCAGCTCAGACCTATTTTATGGCTCAGACCTATTTATATGGGCTTAATATAAAAGAAAGAATTTGAGACAGGAACTAGAAGGAAAATTGCAACAATCTGTTAATTAAAACACAGAAGGGCAAAACAAATCCGTAAACGCCTATGCTTGCTGTATGATCCTATTCAAGATTGTGGTTACTATTAGACTCTGATTTTGGAATTAATTTGTTCTTGCTGGGTTTTGCTGGAAAATCTCAAACCTGACGTGCACTGATTATATAAAATAATTAAACAGCCACCTAAGCATCTGAAGTAGCTATCACCATCATCACCAAAGTTATGTTATCAATTCATTGCTATTTTATTGGGTTTATCAGGTATATACATGTCCAGGAAGGGCAGAGAATATGATCTGTCCAGCAAAAGTAAGAAAAGTAAGAATAGAGCCCTATACTTTCAAGAGCTTTATTTGCTCTGTTTGTGTAAAGTTAGTTTCTAGTCCTACTTTCTATCATTCCTTACTTGACTTTTCCCTAGAGGAAGGGGAAACAAAAACCCAAGGAAGTGCTGTACTGTTTACATCTGCTAATCAGGCTGCTACCTGATGGAGGGTATTACAAAAATCAGCTGATGCCATTAAACGGTACATGGTATCCAAGGGTACTCTGAAACCAAGCCTGCCTGGGAAGTTCTAGAGCAAGAGAAGGGCTGTAGCTTTAGGTGACGAAGGTGGTGATAGGCTAGATCCTCAGCTTGGCTTTTTTGTTTATTTGTTTGTACTTCTGCAGATCTTAATGATGATCCCAATACCATAGACTTCAACCTTTTTTTCCCTGAAGTTTCCAATCTCTTCTTTCATTCCAGGTTCTCATCTTCCCTCTTATGGTTTTCCACTCTTTCCTGGAGGCAGTTTGTAACTGAGCTTCTGCCTTTGTTTCCACCACTCCCCCACTCTTACATCTCTCTCCTCAAACACCAGTACTTTTGTATTTTTCATCCAGCCTTCTCCTTCCTAAACTTCCCTTTCAGCATATCCAAATCTCTCGAACCTCATTCTGTCTTTCCATAGAAATAATCTTTCCGTTCAAATATATACCGTGGCCTGGAGACTCAGGTCTTTGCTTAAGGACTGCTTCCTTAAGACTTTTTATTCCTATTGAACTACTTTTTTTAAAAAAAGAATTCCTTAGTCATTCCTTATCATATGCATTTAGAGGGCTAAGCCCTTTAAATCTGGCACAGCTATGCAGCTGTACACCTAAATCTGCTTTCAGAAGTGTGTCGACTGTATCAGTCTTTCCAGTCAGATAAGTGTTCTCAGTCCTGTTTTCCTTTTTCAGCTTGGGATAGGTAGAGCTTTCAGTGCCTACTTTAGTTTGATGCTGTTGCTGTACCTG